CTTCCTAGCTCTTACGGTTTGGGCTGACAGGACAAACAGTTTTATATTGAGATATACATTGTGGTTTAAAACCTATCTCTCTGGTCAGTCAGCTTTTGTTTAAGTTGAATTTGGATGTGATCGATTACGGAAGACATGACAGTAACAGCTCAAGTATGACACATATGGCGCGTTCATCTCGGAAGGTCTCCAAGACGATATGCCCTAAGATCAGAAATGGGCGACAATGGCGACATATGCTGAAATTCATTATCAAGGTGATCATATTTGTTGTTGCGATCAATACTCCGATACCATCAGATGGCGCTGCCGAATGGGATAAGGACGAACTTGGCTTTGGCACGCTACTAGACAAGGAAGGGACCCGACATTTTGAGTTCAACGAATTTACCAAGTATGAGTCTAAGCCTATGTATTCTGCAGATCCCAACTATCATAGCCTGTATATGAAGCCAATACACGAATTGACACACATAATGTTTGGGGACGATGTGTATATACCAAGAGGTGGGTCCTTATATTTACAACGTCAGCTGCCGGTTGATCTAATCAAATGATCCTTACCCCAATAGGTTATATTGAGAACACGAATAGCTCGAATGCTCTTCACCTAGGAAACAAGGTCGAGACCAATGATTGGATGGATTTGCTTGCCAATAACAAATTGCTGATCGTCTGGATATTGCTTATTTTCTTTCTTATCATTATCTTACCGTTTGTCGCGTAAGTAATAGGTTTAAAATTACACAAGTTATTGATTAAATGTTCTTCCCTGAGCGCATCTCAAGTAACTAAATATCTAAAGCAACCAAATTTGGTCGTAGTTTTTATACATAACAGTTATAATTATTACATCGAATAGTAAAGTATACAATATAGTATTATTTCGGTTATTGTATAGGTGTGACAATTCGTATCTAGCAACTGTGTTATAGGGTACTTTCTAGCCGAGCTCCTCCCACTTTTTTCAACCCACATAAACTAATTAAATGCTCTCTCAACGATACACAGAGTCTGCTATTTCTGCTTTTGCTGCTGCCGTTGCCCCAACGTCTGCCCACCTTGTGCTCGAAGCTCGCATGGTGCAAAGCGCACTTTTTGCAGCATATTAATGCTGCTGCTCATTCTGGGAATACTGTAAGTCAATTATATTTCATTTTAAGCAATTTTAATATTTGGCATAAACATAGAATGGGATTACTCATAGCTTTCCTTAATGAAAAGCTAATAAATCGCGGGCTTCGAGAAAGCATCGAGAACATGCATCGCCATGCCGAAGACACGTGCGTATTTTTGAAGGATGTCTGTAATCATGTCAACCACTTGTTCACTAACAACTTTGAAGAATTGGAAACGCATCTAATAGCTTCGCTAAATGGTAGGGACCACTGTTGCATCCCGAACCCGTTTGAAAATGTTTCCCACATATCACTCAGTCAGGCATTCCCGACTAGATCACTTTTATTTGTTTAGCTAACCTTTTGTGCATTTTTCGCAGAGGCGGATACCCATATATTTATGGATCTTACCGAGAGCTCTGGTCTCGTTGCACTATCAGAAATAGAACATATTTTCTCCTCCATGCCGGAAGCATTAAGATTATTGAAACGGGCGGAGAGCTACAAGAACTCGCTTATCTTTCTTATGTCCCAGTTTCGAGATGGTAATTGTATAAAATGTGATTAATCTTTTATATATAGTAAATATCTCAACGATCATTTTATTGTACAATATTTAAGGTGTGCGTGGTATAAAGCGTGATGTTACCTATCTTCATACGGTTTGGTGTGACTACAAGGAATGCAATAATTTTCTTAGGAATAATAAAATTCCGACGTGGGGTACTAAGCCCTGTCTGCACGTGGATAATGTGGGTAAGGTTTAAGATGAAAATGTGCATTACATTCGATTCGATTCTTTTCAGCTCCCGGACATTATACCATATGTGGAGGCCATTGAAGATATTATAAAAGAAGAGGTGGTATTAGTAGCAAGGAATGGGATAGAACGCTATCATGAAGTCAACAAAATGATCGAGGATGTGGTAAATCCGCAGATTCCGCCATTAATCACAAAGATTGGCAGAGTTGGTATAGGTGTCAAAGAACAGGGCGAGAAAGTATGCAACATCATCGATTCGATAATGAGTGATATTTATTTTCAAAATGCGCGCATCACAAAATCTTTTGGTGATTTCAATGATACATACGGACCTGATCGGAAAATAATAAGCGTCATCTTGTTTTTAATAATATTAGCGGTAAGACATAACTTTGAAAACGGTGTATTAGAAAGCTTCTATAAATCTCGGACTTGGTAAAAGCTTCATAAATATCACATAAATATATATTACAATATTATTAATTTCCTGACAAACTGAATTCCTTGGCCGTTCCGTTCCAGATTATCGTCATATTGCTTGTTGCATTTATTTTTGGCTGTTGTATTCGAAGAGATAACACTGGATCCAAGTGCTTATTACTGTGAGTAGCCAATAAACCTCTCTCCGTCTCTTTTTTTATCTCTATGTTTCTCTCTTTCTCTGTCTCTGGCGCTCTCTCTCTCTCGCTATTTTTTTTAGGGCTATCATACTGATATTCTTCTTTTTATCGCTCCTCCTTCTCGTTATGATGTTTTACTTTTTATTGGGAATGATAATGTACTATGGTGTGTGTATACCGCGTACTGATGAGGAGAGACAGAATCTCTTTAGTGCGATTGAACCTGAGGCAAACGTAAAAAATCCACAGGAGTCAAGCATAACAAGGACATGCAAGGAAAATCAGACAATTTTTGATGCGCTGCTTGAGTATAACTTATTTGACCTAAGTAATATGAAGGGTGAAATTGCGCGCAATATATCTACTGTCGATGCGGCAGCGGCAATTTCTGCTGATCTGAGCAAAGTAAAAGTCCTACAGGATAATGAGATAATTAAGATTAATAAGGCGCAAATCGGAAAACTGTCGAATTATCATAGCAGATTGGCTACAGAACATTTGTGCACAGAAATATCAGCTTTGAATCTTATGCAATTTAGACCGAAATACTATGAGTGGAATAAACGTTTTTTCTTCCCCGTAGATAAGCATGATCAAAATATGAGAACCAGACTAATATCCGCTTATCCTAGCATTTGGAGAATTGGGCTAGACATGGACAATGTTGCATTGATTGAACCAAATATACTAAAAGACATGGAGAAATTAAAAAGCAGACTGCTCCAAACTGACAAACTTATAACAAGAAACAATAATGACTTTAACAATACAATTAAGCCGCTAATGGATTCAGTTGCAAGAGCAGAAGAATTTATAAGAAGTCGTGGCAGTGATTATGTAAATATGCTATGTAATAATCTAACCGCAGCGGTTAACGAGGAAATCAACCACTATGTTAATTATGTGATCAATGAGTGTAATTTGCGTGTTGGATCCTGCCGACCCATTGCCTACATGTATCAGCACAGTATTGAAATGGTTTGCGAGCGCTTGGTCGATCCCATTGTAAGTAGCTCTACAAAAATATCATTAAATGATGTATGCCAATATTCCTTCAATTGTAGAACGGATTCTGGTTGGGCTTATTGATTAGCGCCTTGCTTTTTCTACCCCTCTTGTTTGTTGCCCATCGACTGCTATGCTTGTACAGGGTACATAGCCATGTTGGGGCGGCTGGAGTTATGTTCCTTGATAGAGATGGATACAACTGCCCGACCTGTACGGGAATACCGTATAAGCCGCCACCTGTTGTCGTTTGTGACGGCGGGCAGAATACCTACTGTCCCTGCGCCGATGCTAATAACCCAGATGGAAACGCACTCAAGGAAAAGCAAGCGTGATGCGGATTTATTCTTAGAATATTGCAATCGAATCATCATGTGCGTCGTGCATGTGTAATGTATTCACAATTACAGGTTGTCGATGCAAACACACGGTTATTCCACAACTGTATTGAACTATACTGAAACAGATTGGAAAAGTGCAGTACATGACATTCTACAGAGTCAAATCTAATGCATTCAAAAGAAATTTATCGAAAAGTGAATGAAAACAATTGAAATTTAAGACTGGAAAAATCTTCGAAAATATTTAACAAAATGTATATTATATGTACAACAGAAATGAGAGGTCAAATCAAAATAAAAAACAACAAAAATCATAATTATTTTGATATATAAAACTCTTTGACCTGAATCATAATTATGATGAATGAATGAAAAAACTGCTAAAAACATTTTCATGAAAGATCTTTGTTCAAATTTCTTTGAGAGCTGTTGCAAACTTTTCGGAAAATACATTGTACCTTGGTGGAACTAATGAAAACATGTTTTACCGTAAGAACACTCTCAATCCGTTCAGAATTCGTAGTAAATATGTATCTCGGCGGTTGACCATTATACTATAACCAATTTGCTATATAAAATATATATATATGATTTAGTATGTATGTGTGTAGTATGAATTCGAATCCTAATATTGATAAAAAAGCTACTAATTGCAAGCTTAAATGGGAGGTAATGATTAATGTTGTTAAATGGAATTTATGCAAGATTTGTTGTTTATGTTTTTTGTTATATAAATTATATGGCAACAATATAATAATATCCTGCAAGGGATATTAAAATTTGATAAGGTTCATTTCAATTTTATATAAGTACATGTACAGATTCGAAAATTTTATTTGTAAACATTTAGGCTACACAAAACTACAAATGGCATATGTATTCATACATAAAGATTATTTGATTTAATTGTTTGTTTTTTTTTTTCTTTGGCAAACCTTAGAATAGAATTGTCAACTTGTTGTAATTTTCTCAAATTCATTAACTTAATTGTATTAATAGCTTGTAATAAATAATATTACTATCGTTTAATATTTTGTAATTGATTTTTAGCATTTTAACGCATAACTTTGCTGACATTTAATTGGAGCTTTCGCAGCGTATTATTATTGTCATTGAATATTCATCGTTTGGTGATTGGAAATTGTTTACTTTGTTTTTTTTTTTTTTGGGTCTTTAATATTTTTAATTATACTTAAGCTATTAAGTATTTACAAAGCTCAACTCCGAACAAGAACTTTTAACGGCATTGAATATTTGTGTATATCATCATTCATAAAATTTGAGCGAACTAAGTTAAATATATATATTTGTCTTTTTTTGTTTGTATTTGTTCTTTGTTCAAATATTGTTAAGGTCTAATTGATTTTAACACAAAACTTTTGAATAAAGTTTGTTGCTTATACAAATTAGTATTTTTTTCTTTTACTTTATATTTTGTGAAGCTTTTTATCGAGTGGAATAACAATCTCTACCTTCGATTTGAAATGTACTATTTAATATTTATGGGTTAATTGCAAGAACTATAACATTGCATTTCTTAGGCGTTTGTAACAAGTTTTATCTGCTCATCTTTTAATACTAAGTATGAAAAAGTAATTTAAATTTGAACTCAATTCAATTTAATTATATTCATAATTATTTACATCATGATGTATGCTAATTAATACGTTGAATGGAATAATTCCCAAATTTGTTTGTTTTTATTTTCTTGTTTCTTATTGATCTTTCGAGTGTCTTTAATTGCAGACAATCGCTTCAAATAAATTCGTTGATGTTTTGTGACAGCTTTCACAACTGTTCCAAATTACTTGACATTGTGTGCGTCTTGGCCGCTTTTAGCCGCAAAACAAATGATGAGGCAAGCCGACGATAACGAGAGTACATCAAATCATTATGCTCCATTCCATCCTCGCTCTCGGTATCGTGCTCGTGCTCGTCCTCAAACACTCATCGTTTGCGATTATAGGCGCCAAGCGAAGACTGCCTTCATTCTTTCATTTCATGTCCATTTGTGCCCAGTTCGAGCAGCTCATGGGGCTCGGCATTTAGCTATACATACGTGTATGTACATAATATATATATATATATATATATATATATATATATTTATATATATAATCGATTTATAATAAAAATTATATGTATAGGCACAAGAACTTACCCGATCAACGCTTGCCAAATCGTTCTTCGACAAATGATTAACCAAAATAGTACCAAGAGCATCGCACATGACATTGATAGTGGTGCGGAAACGATCACTGAAATTAATGAAGCAGAAAATATTTATCCAGGACCAGAGAGAAAGTACTAGCATTTACATACAGCAGCCAGTCGACAGCGATAATTAGCGAGACATCCTTAGGCTCCAGGCCGACAGTGTCGAGTACCATGACCATGGTAACAAGGCCCGCCTGTGGTATGCCCGCTGCACCAATTGAAGCAGCCGTCGCCGTTATACTGACCGCCACAATGGTGCCAAATGAGTAGCTCATCTCACGGTACTGGGCAATGAATAGAGCTGCCACCGCCTCATACAAGGCGGTGCCGTCCATGTTGATTGTTGCGCCCACAGGTATGACAAAGCGGGTAACACGTGGGTCTATGCCCATATTATCGAGGCATTTAATAGTCAACGGCATGGTGGCCGAGCTGGAGCCCGTGCCAAAGGCAGTGGCCAACACTTGACTCAATTTGGCTATGTAACGATACGGCAGGCGACGTGTACCCAAAAAGAATATGACCGCGATGGTACCTATATATACAAAATTTAATATTATTAAAGAAAAATTTTATCTAAACTGAGCCGCTTACCAAAGCCGTGCAGGAAGAGGCCTATCATAACGGTTATGAAATACCATCCCAAAGATTGTATTGTTGCCGCTATAGAGTCCATCTCAATGATTTTGGCTGCTATTAAAAAGGCAACGCCCAGCGGTGATATCCTGCAAAAATCGTCCATTCACTTTAGCCAGATGCTCAAGAATCGAATCTTATTTTTGCACACTCACCAAATAACCCACGACGTTATTGTCATCATAGCTTCACTGAGCGTTGTAAAAAAGTCCTGCAGCAGTTGGCCCTTCTCACGCATACGACCGATTGTTGTGCCCAGTATTACGCTGAACATGACCAGACCCAGTACATTGGAACCCTCACGCTGCGCCGACTTGAACTCCCAGTTCTCCATGGGTTCTATAAGAATAAGAATTTAGTGATATAGTCGATTGGCTGGCAGAGTGTGTTTACTAACGTGCTGGGGAAATGCTGGTATTCTCGAATATTTCCGTACGATGCTGGAAGATTAGAGTTATGAAAAAATAGTAATTAATTAATTACTTTTCAGAACAAGTTATTTAAAATCCCCCAACAAAATTATATATATTTTTTATCTTTTTTTGTTTATCCATTTTCATATTCCCTTTCCTACCCTAAACTCTTACTATTCCATGAATAAAATATTTATATCTCTCAAGGTTTCAGTTTCTTCTCAATCTTACGAGTCTTGTAATGAAATGTGGCTTAATAGTAAAATATGTTGAAGAGCATAGTACATTCAATTTCATATGCACGATCAAAAATAAAAACGACAATAATCTAATTGCGCAAATGAATATGCATTCATATTTACCTATAAAGATACGCATACACACAAACACACATCCGAGGGGAATACTTTCATTCAATTCGCGTTTGACATTATATATATCTTACATATCATATATGCCCATACATAGCACATTTCGTAGTTGAGACTGCGTCTGTGGTGATAATTGAAAATTCAACGTGTACGTAAATTAGATATGTATGTTTTATATGTACATACGCGTACATATGTATGTATGTCTGTGCTCCCCCTATAATTTTCAATTTCAATTGAAACGGAAAGAACTTTGCTTTGGAGTAACCTATCATGTCAGTTTTGATTATGTGCCGCGTTGTGCTTTAATCAAATTATGTAAACAACAGAGCACAATTGAATAATTGGCACAGTTGCAATCAAGAATTGAGCGAATGCGTATTCTGGCAAAAATCCAGCAAAGATATATCCAAATACCTGCTCGGCACGAACTGAATATCGCGGCCGATAAAATTGTAACGCTTCCAGTATGAAATGCATAACGTAAGCAATATCGCTTCTTTATAGCTTTCTTATCTTTAACAGTGGCTGAGATTTCGTTTAACTCTCTGGGTTAATGGAGAGCGACACGTATATGAAATTGAAAAGAGATTCGGCTGATAGTCTGACAGTTCTGCCCATGATGCATCGTGAAGTTGTTCTTGCTTTTAAAACATATTTGGGGGCATAGAAAAGCGATACTTTTACGACAATAGATACAAATTTCGTGATGCTGATTAGCACAACAAAGTTTAACAAGCTTTTATTACACAAATACTATTGCTATTATATCACCAAAATTTTAGCATATTATAAAGCATTTCCGTCTATCCCACATTGATAATAAGAAGTGTGTATCTTGTGATCTAAATAAATTGAACTTGTTCCCATAACATACCTGAAACATTGTTGACTGTATTATGTTGTCCGTGAACATATTTCTAATAGAATGAGAAGAGAATAAAAAATTATAAAATCATCGTAGGATAAACTGCATAAAACGTACCTCACTAAGTCCATTAAAGTGTCTGGCGTCAACACCTTTGATGCTTTATCAATAGTCTCAGTGCGTGTCTCCACAATTTTGGCACCCTGGCCGGGTCGTATGGTTGTGACTAGACATATGCCCAAAATAACTGCCGATATTGTTGTTACAAAATAGTAGGTGATAGCTCTGAAAAAGCCAAAGATGTATTTCAATATTTTATCCAAGCGCCGAACTGTGCTCACCTCGTCGCTATTTTGCTGGACATACTCAGATCCAGTCCGCCGATTGCACTTGTTATGGAGGACACCAGCAAGGGTACTATGAGACACTTTAACATGCTGTTCGAATAATTAGAGATATAATCAATGCTTGTACATGTCGAGCTGGCCAGCTAGAGAACTTACCGCAAAAATATTTCGCCCGGAAATGATATATACATAATCTCACGTTTTGTCCACTCGCCGGTGCTGTTCTTGATTATAAAGCCAATGAGACCGCCCACAAAGACACCGATCACGGTGGCCATTGTGAGCACATTCTCCTGCAAAAAGCTCTTAAATTTGTTCGCATCCTGCTTGGGTCGCGTCATTGTGACTCTATGTAAGTATTACCCTAGGCCCGTACACACGGGCGTTACCAGAAGTGCGTTTCCGTTGGACCTTGGTGCAGCAACTAAGCCAACTTGATTAACTAGCCAAAAGTATTTCTATAATTTAAATAGAGAAAACACAAATATAACTTAATATTCTGTCATTACATTTTTTATAAAGATATTAATTTTTTGAAATGTAAAACATTTTCTAATTTTAAAAAGTTAATTTAATTAATTTAATTTTGGCCCACCTGGCAAACTGGATGGTAAATTTACAATGGACGTAATAAAATAAGCGTTAATATTGTGTGCTTTCGAATTGCTGGTTATAACTTCAATCTTTATTAGCATGTTGTCAAAAACTGCTGCTGAGATCTTAAAAATCTACCAATGAATTTGGAATGCATGAATTTAGCAACAATTATTATTTAACACCCATTGTTCGCATTGTTTGAGAAAATGTGCTAAAAGCTAGCTGCGAATGCAGCTCAATTGATATATCTGTGCTGATTGTTTGCATTGAGTGTAATTGAGAAATATTTCCGTTTTTTTTTTTTTTTTTCGTTTTGTCATAAGCGTGTCAGAACAAATAAATTTACATAAGCCATCACCTAATGAAAAGTAATGAATAACGAACCCATTACAGGCAGCACTTCACTGAGATCAATGCCAAATAATAGGGATGATCATGTGCCGACAAACTGTGCGAAAACTGATCCAAATTGTCGAGAAGGCTCTTAATTGAACTGCCAGACTGATGTGTAGATCTGCATAAATGCATTCGAGTAGATTAATCAAGAATAAAATTATTCACACTTGGCATTGTTTACACAATTACCAATGAGTTTTGTTGGGCATTTAAAAGTATTTCATCGACACATAATCAATATAGTATACAATTAATTATTGTTATTTAGCGAGAAATATGATTACTCTCAATAACACGAGAACAAGCATATAGAACATATTTTAAGGCTATGTTAGGCTAGATTACTATCATTGAATGTGAAATTAAATGTGATAGGTTATATAGAAAAATTGCGCAGTGTTTCTCGTTTAACAGCTTTCCCTTAATGCATTCATATTGTGCTTGTAATTCGGAGTTGAATATTTTCAATTTGCATATTTGAACGCTATCGAAATACGCCTTGCAAGGTTGTAAGCATATTTTAAAAGTAATGTGAATTATAAATCATTTTGTTTAGCTATACTTAATTACTTAATTTTGCAACACATATATCATAGCGTTTACTTGGCTATAAAGGGTCATTCGATTATTTCCAGTATGTGACGGCATTTTAATTAATTCCTACAACTCATTAAGAAAACAAATGAGACTGACCGCCTACATGTTGTTATTGTCGTGCTTGTTGTTGGTTGCAATGCAAATCAATTTGTGTGCCCAGAACATTGACAATGAGTTTTATTTGCATCTAACATTGCGCGTTCGAACTACCGCCACTTACGAAGTATTCATAACAGATTCAATAGCTTTTCAAACAGCATTTAAAAAATGTTACATAAAATCGTGTCCAGCAATTTAATTGCATGTATTCTACATATTCGATTTAACACACCTATTTGACCTTTGTAAAGCCAAAACTAGGCATCAGTCGACTAACAGAAGGATTAACTTTTCAATTCAATCTATCTTCTAGCCGATTTATAGTATTTATAGCTGTTTGCTGTTTCAGCAAACTTTTTAAAGTTTCGTTGGAAACTAAGCTAATCAACATAATTTTTTTATGAGTACTACTGTTATATCATAATTGCATTTGGGTATCATCATGACATGGTGTGCGAAATATTTTCGTTTGTGCTTATAATTAGAATTTGGCAACTAAACATTTCGCATATTTATTAAAACTTAACAGAAACAATTTTATTTGTTTTTATTTGAAATGCACTTTATACCCTGTATTAGCCTTAAGTAAGGCCAATATATTCACGGTCACAAAAAAAACATATTTAATAATATGTTTTTACAATTGAAGACTCAGTTAAGGTGTGTGCATATGCGAATGTGTGCTATGCACATGTATTTGCGTAAAAGCTAGAATTCTAATAAATAACAATTGATGTTTTTGATGAACGTAAGTTTATATTAAATTAGTTTTGCTAGCTGTCATCGAGCACATCAAGTTTGTTTTTATAAACAAGTCAAAGTGACCCAGAAGGAAGTGTCGACTAGAGCACACCCTGCAAATAAGCTGCAATACAGACATGCATAATGAAATATATGAATTTTAAAATCTATACAAAAATCAATATGCATTTGGAACCCTTCCGTACCTATACTCTTTGGGAACTACGCAGTTAATATAGCAGACGGATCGAAAAAAATATTGCTGATAATCAGGAATATATATACTTTCTCGCGATGCAAATGATTGTTAATGAATATTCGAAAGAATTTCACAATATAAATATAGTAATTATTAAATGCAGTGTATTATAATCAAAAATTAGACGGATTACAACTAGATATGTTAACTTAGCTCTCAGAAATATTTTACTGTTAGAAAGATACTAATTGTGTAAACAAGAAACCTTCAATCGATCTTTCTAGAACTTAAAAAAATATTACTTATATTTTATGTCTAATAGAAAAACTGGTAAAAATAACCAATTAACATTTGAAGCGTATATCAGGAAAGGCAATTTGAATTTTTTAAATACATCATTTACCCGTTCTACAGACAGACAGACGACTATTTTTGTACATGACAGAAATTTGCATCAAAAATAGTAAAACTGCTAAAAATAATGCAACAGAAAAAAAAGTAGCAAAAACAAAACACACGTAAAATGAAAAGCGAAAAAAAGAAAAAACAAAACAAAAACAAAACAAAAAACAAACAAAAACAAACTTTGTGGTATATCCAAGTTGAAGTGCGGCCAACCCTTAAGCAGAAAAAAAAGGGGGAAAGGGCCTTGGCCCTATCACGGGTTGGCCCTTACCCGCTCCCCGCCCTCCCTCGGCAATGCAGCTGATGCGGCGAGCGCTTATCAGCAGCAACAATCGAAATCTGCAACGCTCTCTCTTAACGCAGTAAGCGAAAATCGATGCATTAACAAATTAAACATAATCTTTGGATGTGCTGGACTATGGAACAGACAGGTTACACGTTCAGAAGTGTCAATATTCATAAATAGAAAATATGATGGAAAGTAAGTTTACACTTAACTAGTGTGTGTTTCGGTAGGACGTGGTTTACTGAAGTATTGATATATTGATGAGGTATAGCCATATGTGGTATTCATTTAAAATTATAAAACTTGGACTTCATAAAGGATCACAAGGAAGCCAACAATCCGAAACGATTCAAACCAAGTATTATTTGAAAGCTAAATAATAACCATAATATTACGTTAATGGCTTTTCAATGTTTTTTGTTATTTTAAAATTTAATTATTATTAGTATACATATATTTCGATTTAACTTTCCAACTAGCATTAGCTGAGATTAAATCTTATCAAACGTTAGACTGAGATTTAGATCCGAATCTTCCATTTGCAGCTGTCCAAATGACAGGATTATTTGAATAACGCTCATTTCTCTTCATTTACGTATATTTTTAGTTTTTTTTTTAAGAAAATAGTGAAACAAATTTGAAGAAGTATTAAAAATGAAAATGTACTTTACTTTAGTTAAATATTATATTCAGTTCATTTTGTTGAAGATGGTGAAAATGATAAAGATTCCAATAGAGATCCTTTCATTTATAACAATATTTATATTATATACATCTATACTGGCACAAAATTGCCTTGAAATATATTATACTCTAATTTATGAAATAGAATTTTGAGCCAACATCTGCAAAGGAAGTTTTGCGTCCTTAAAGATGCATTATTACACAGGAATTGCGAGCTCTCGGATTATAACTTACCCATTACGGATTACGTTTATAAAAATCTTACAAATATGTTCAATGAGTTATAGAAGAGAGTGAATGATACATTTATCAATGACATAAATCAAATAAATTAGTGTGTTAAATATTGTTCATTCACTCAGTACACAATGTCACATTAATTTGCAATTGTTATTTGTTATTCATATAGACATGATCTTGATATCTGTTACTTGTCTTTATTCATTTTATATCTGATTTTTTCGTCTTTTATATCTAAGAAAATGTTTATAGCATTTTTGCATAACTGTATATATTTTATTACACTTACAAATTAATGCATGGAAATATACTCCAGGCTGAGCGAAATATGCATAAATTTGCATAAGTTTCAACCCTTTCGGTTAATTCAAAATACAGTTGATTGTGGGCACACGTAAATATATATATTTACATATATATATATATATATGTATATATGTGAGGAGAACGCGCTTTTAGTATATTTTTGTTGTTGCTGTCGAGCACGCGACGTTGGCACGACTGAACGCAGACTCATACGCAGATCACAGATCACAGATGAGATGGGCCCACAGATTCCACTCGCTGGCAGAGAGAGAGAACCAAACACGACTCAACTTGGCTTGCCTGATTATAAAATAGTACTAAAAACTACATCAAAATCAAATACGAAACGTAGCCAACGAGCGCGCAAAATTTATGCGCGACTGCGCTGCCAGCGTCAGCAGAGCATGTGTGTGTATGTTTGTGGGTGTTGGATTATTTTCATTCATCAAATGCGTTCACAGTGTCGCAGTTGAAGTCGCTCTTGCTGTCGCCGTCGCAGTCGCTGCTCTGCCTATCAATTGCAATGCAGCGCACCACGTAACTCATACGACGCGTTGTCGCTGCCGCCGCTGCTGCCGCATCGCTTAATTAGCTGCCTTGTTCTCTGCACGGCGACGCATGCTTAGTTTCGCTTTCTTTTGGCTGGCGATTTTTGAAGGGAATTCATTATCACCAATTTGCGCTAGGTAGAGTGCATGCATACATATATATATATATATATATATATATACATCTAGCTTGAGCCTTTTTTTAAACACTTCCTCGCACCTGTCGTTAAAAGTAGTTCAGTGTTTTGATGTCAGCATTTCACGCCCACTTCCTTGCGCCCACTTCATTAGCTACCGCATTGTTCAAGTTGCTCTGATCAACCTGCTATTGTTTACTGAGCCAAGGGGTTGCGGGCTGCGAGTCAAATACTGACGAAACTGCATACAAGGCTTTAACTATAAATTACTATCTCCTTGGAAAGATTTAAACAAGTTCTCTATATATTTTTCAATCATTTTCAAACATATTGAACAGCTTTTTAATTTGAACTTTAAATTTTGTTCTTTTTTTTTCTTGGCACAATTTGTTTAAATCAAGCACTTTCAACTAATTAAATAATAAAATAAATTTAAATTTAAAAATTATGAATAAAGACCTTTGCCAAAAACCGTTTTTAATTCTCGAAGTCATGAAATGCCTGTAAAACTGAGAGCCAGTTTGTTAAACAATCCCTTAAAACATCTTAAAATTTACCTAAAACGGTTTTATATATACTAAGTTGTAAGCTATTAAGTTAGACTTTCGAAATTATAATTGAAGTGCATTTGTTCTAAGTACACTAACTAATCATAAGGAAAAGTAATGTGAGAAACAACGTTTGCCGTATTTAACATATCAAAATATGTTACAATATGGATGAATTAACTAGCATAAGTTAGTTAGAAACTAGCAATCTTGGTATTTAAATACCGCTAGCAACTAAAGTCCAGAAGCTGGTTGTTCTGCCTGAAGGATCAGGTCCCTTAAAAGACTTGCTCTAGCAAGGAAAACCCGTTTAATAGTTTACCATTGATTAAATTAAATGACAAGTATGTAACTATGGTCATATTCGAAGTTAAGATTACAAATAAGAGCCGAACTCAAGAAAGTTAAGCAAATTCCTCCCAAGTATGACATAAAAATAGAGCTATAATTAGGCATTTCCGGCCCTCCTCTTGCCATCGTATAATAAATAGTAATAAAAATCAGCGTCGCTGTTGCAGTGTCCACAGCTGCCTTTGATCTGTTTCAATTCGATTTGCCTTGGGGGCTAGTTCTGCTGACCGCTGGCGACACCAAGCCGTGATCACGCTGGTGGGAACAGAAAACCAACAAAAACAAAAACAACAACAAATAATATAATAATATAACAAATAACCGTTTATGGGGTTTTGTCGCTATTTTGTAACTACGCACAAGTGACAGTTCCCAACGGCGACCAAATGACAGCGTTTCGTCGTAGTCCCTTCCCTTTCAGTGGTGAATTCCATAACCAGCAGCTATGCTACCCTTGCGTACACCCAGATCCATAGCTCGCAGCTATTTCTCATCGTACGCGCACGAGTATGTACGAAAACGTGCCAAAGCATTACTACCGGAACTGTCGATCTTCATTTTTAAAAGTGGAAAATATCACTATATACCCTATATCACCATATATAAACAATTCTATACATGCACAGTTTTTTTTTTTTTTTTTTTTTTAAGCCCAATGAAAAGATAAAACTAAAAACGACTATATATATCGTTCAACCATAAAAACAGCTCCCTCCTCTTTTACCTTTATCCAACAATCATGAAATCAATATCAATCGATGAAATTATTATCTGAGATTATCTTTATAAGGTGAAGAAGTACAGTTTACATTACTTTCCAAAATTTGCTACCAATTTCTCTTGTTTCTATACATATTTTTGAAAGATCTGTAATAAAGGTATTTTAAAAAACTCCCGTGTTCAATTATTTTAAACGACTTGACTATTTCAAATTTGTTCGATATCATAACCTGTTGCGAATTTTAACAAACATTAAAATATTTATAAATTATAATTTTCGAGCTATGCTTAAATCTCAAAATGCACATTTTAGAAATTGCAAAAGATATAAAATATAAAGATATGTATATAGATTTCAAGGTCAACGAGTTCATACAGACGGACATGGCAAGCTATATAAATATATATATATATATATATAGATCCGTTTTTCTGGAAAATATTAAACCACTTGGGCATATTATATATATATATATATATATATATAATATGCCCAAGTGGTTTAATATTTTCCAGATCAACGGATCAGAAACGAGTAATGCAGACAAACTAATAGACAAACCTAACAGATAAACCATAGATAATAGAAAATTATATATATCTCACTTAATACAAACAACTGTGCGCACATGCAGACAATACTTACCCAACATACATATATTTTTTATAAGCATAAAATATATAGATGTATCTCTAAATAATAATCACTTCGACAACTCATCAGTGTAAATACTTTAAAGTACATTATATAGTATCGTATGAAATAGAATAATACTTAAACCATCCGTGTTGGTTTCCCCTAAATTAAACCAAAATTTTTTTGCTAACTGTTTCTTATCTCTGATGTGAAAATTTTTTTCAAATTTATAAATACTCTCCCCTCTAATATACCGGAAGATTTCCATAATGTTACCCAAGATATTGTATAAATGATTGGATGTATTACAAAGGCTTTAGAGATAATGCGCTATATGTATAAGATAGGTAATATAGGGGATATAGCTATCATAATAGGGGATGAGCTATCATTCGCATCGACTGCATAAAAACAATAGTATATAAGTGTACTGGGTTCTTCTCGCTTACCATAAAAACTTGCTGAAGGAAACATTTATGCAGAACTCCGTCCCTCCGTCATTATCCCGTAGTTAAAGAACGGTCCTTGAATAGCAGTGAGTTAACTTCCTTAGTTGTTCCTGTGATGTCCTTACAGCTGGATCGTTTTTACACTAATTTACTAAGTTATCGCACTCATAAATTTATTTCTTAGTGTTTCAATATCCTGTACATAAATGTTGAGCATTTTAACAATAGGAATTACATGAACTAACCAATGCCGATTGCATAGTAGTTCGGGTTTTAAAGTTGGTATTAATTAACAAGAAGTTTGAATTTTATGACGAGTTTACTTTATGAGGCCATATATTGCCCAGTTATACGCGATATAAGAATACAATAACGAATTTGGGTATTGAAAAACTTCAAGCAATCAACGCCTAAAGTTTTCTACAAATATATTTATTTTTTGTATTTTTTTATTTATAACTTTATATTATGTTTAAACGTAATGCATTATGTATTTATAAAAATTTTCAAGATCACAAATCATATTTTTTTAATATTAAATGAAAATGTGCAGGCAATTTTCATAACGCTGTCTGCGTTTCGCGATATTAGCATTATACAATTAAAAGGCCCACTGTGCTATGGCTAAAAGCAAAACGGAATGCAAATTTAAGGCGCAAATAGAGAATCAGTTATAGAATTACATTTTTTAAATATGGCAAACTCTATATAATAGCAATATGGCAACGTATTCATAATTTGGAAATTTATATGTGAAGAGAAACACTTGTGTGCCAGGATTTAAGCAGTATATGTGTGAGTGTGTGAATATTATTAAAGAAAGCAGAATAAATGTATGAGTGTGTATGCGTGCGTGTGTTGAATTTGTTGTTGGTTAAGAGCTGCCGCTGCCGCAACAGTTGTGCAGCTACCACCATTTGCGCAGTCGCGGAAGCAGCTGCGCCGTCGCGTCAGCTGGAACGCTTCCATGTATGCTTATACGTATATGTAAGATGTGGTGTGAATGTGTATGTATGCATTTGTGTGTGTGTGCGGGGAGTGTTTTTGTACGCCTACTCCTCCGTTTTGGGACGCCGAAATAGCAGAATGTGCGGCTCTGGCTTGTGTATCATATAGTGTATCCAGCCGCGCGACTGCTGCACACCGATTGATCTCCATTCGGTTTCGGTCATTAGATGCGTTTTGGGCACCAGCTTCACAAGCTCTTTCGGCAAGACCACATGTCTGCAAAAGGTAGTGTATACATGCGCGAATACATACATACATGTGTACATACACGTAAACATATTTATGTCTATTTAGTGCATTAACAGTTAAAATCGCATGTGTCCACTCACCTGTACTCAAATTTCTCATCATAGTATTTATCCGAGTAGTAAATATCTTTGCTCATCTTTGTAATATGGTGGAATAGGGATAAGGGTGCTGGAATGCGGCGTTTTAATATCTGCTTGGCGTCGGCGTCCTTTTCTGCACGTTCAAAATTTGCGATCCGCTTTGCATAAGACCTTTTTTCAGTTCCTATTTGTGCACACTGATGTTACTAATGTTTAGTTACTTTTTTGCACGTTTCGTGGCAATTTTATATGATTATTTATAAACAATTCACGTTATAAGTTATTTTAAAAAAGTAATAAGTGACGCGGTCGAAAGAGATTTTTGTTCTAGTTCCGTTTTGTTCACTGAACCACTGTTATCGATTATAACAAAACTCGATTGAACGCCAGTATAGAACTAGTTTTTAGTCGAAGTGCAGTACAATGTGCGCGAGTGTTGATCCTAAGTAAAATATAAATTAATAAACAATAAGTGCAAAACAAGAACCAATTAAATGCGCAGTAAGTGATACATTTGGTTTAAATAACTTGATATGCATTAAGAAAACTGATTGGGCTGCATAATTGTCGCCTTATAAAAACTTGCTGCGAAAGCGCGCGTTTATTGAGAGGCAGTTTATTGAGCAAGTAGTGGTGGTCGGTCGATAAATATGCTATTCGATTATTGAGGAGCAGCCGAACACAAAATTAATATATCTAGCTTGCAAATATGAACATATTATTAAATATTCAGAATTTTATAAAAATTCACAATATATGACTATATTTAATTGAATAACAGGACAATTTTAAGCTAAGTTTTAAACATGCGTCGAAATATGTATAGGCATTCTATAACACAGCTGTGCAGCAAAATTCCTTTAATGCGACATGTGTTGACACATGCACAAACAAACTAATTGTAGAAGAAATGCTTAATGCTAAACAAAAGGTGGAAAAGGTGACACAAAAGTTGTTATTAATAATCAGATGTATCGCTACAGCAGCACAATTTCCAATTGTAATCGTTTGCCCCTTATACATCTCTTCTGCCATATGCTTGCTAAGCCACAGTTCTGTAAATATGTACATATGCATGCCTGTATGCATACATACATACATACATATGTATGAGGAAATAAGCTTGTGCGCGTGTGCAGATCTCTAGCTGCAAAGCGTTGTGAAGGCCTTGCAAGAAACTATTACCCTAGGGCCTATTCTAATATGTATGTTATGTAATGTGTAGCTCACAGAATGTCTGGTTTCACACAAAACTAGCCTTCAAGTTCGTAAACTATCTTGATAAAGCTTTTCATGCAAGAATACGCATTTGTTTTTTTTTTTTTTGTTTATTTGGAATTACTTAATTCCATATCAACATAATATTTTTATTGAATTCAGTAAAATTTTTCAAACAGTTTCTCGTTTTTGTTACTCATACATGACTTTCTCAATGTTTATGAAGCTTTCTGCTGTTGTTGTTGTTGTTGTTGTTGTTTTTGTTGATGTTCAGTTACTTTCTTGTTGTAAGTTCATTTTGTTAAATATTACATCTTATGTTTTTCTTTCAATATTTAAACTTTGTCATTGATTTATAGTTAAACTTAAACAATACAAAAGCAGTATTTGTTTTTCATTCATTTTTTGTTACACATAAATATATATTTTTTAAATTTATCATGATTTTTATTTTGTTTTGTTTGTTTTTTTTTTTTGCTTTATGAAGGTTTTTATCTATAATTTTCTTTTTTTTTTTTTTCATTTAGTTTTTAAGTCTAAATTAAAGCAATTCTGTTGGGTTTTTTTACTTGTTACACTTGAAATAATTGTTGAAACAAGAGCAAATTAATTGTGTCCTTTCTTTTATATTTTGGGTTTATTTCATGAACTGCCTTTGCTACAGTTTTGTTAATTTGTTGTTATTTAAAATGTAATCTTGAGAGTTACAATTCTTCAACTGAATTATGGTGTCTCGCCAGGCAAGCTTTACTCTGAACTAAAAATGTTTTTAGATGTTTTTGCTTTTGGTTTATTGTTGTAAATTAAAATTTGTTGTCATCGTACTTAAGTATAGTTTACATGCTGCCTTTTATATTTTACCATTTATATAACATATGTTTGCATACATAGCTGTATACCGTAATGTTACATCACTTAATTCTATATATTATAAATGTAAATAATAAACCAACTTTTGGGTTTTTCACTATTTTTTGTAATTGCCAAAACCAAATGGGTTTGCAAATGATATAAAAACAAATTATTCGCAAGCTTTTTATTATTATTTTTTTTTTATAGTTTTTCTAAAACATTTTTAATTTTCGTTTCTTTTTTTTTGTTGCTATTTTGCGCTGCGCTTTGCACTTGTTGTGAGTGTTTGAATTCTCGGGCAAATTGTGATCCAAAGAAATGCACACTTTACGCTGAAATCTGTTGAATATTTTCTCAAAATATGGGCGTGGCAGTGCTTTAACTTAAATACTCAGTCGTAACAGGGCAACTTGAGTCGATTGAAATGATTTGATGAATTTAAACTTCGTAAACATATCGCTATTGCCATTTGCCTTGATTGTTGAAAAGTTTTGAAAGTAAACAACTGCCACATTTGTTAGCTAAACAATTCGTTGATTTTTATAATACATATAGCAAGCCTTTCAAGAACTGGTTACTCAAAGAAGCAGCGGCAGCAGCTCGTGTGTGTGTTTTGAGAGCTGCGAAATGTCTTGAGAAATTTTGCGAAAGTTTTCCATATGAATTTTCAAATAATTTGTATAGTTTTTGTTTGTTTTTGTTTTTATTATTTTCAAATAATTTTTGAGAATTGTTTAACATTTATTGTAGTTGCCTTGTGCTGATAACGTAACTTGTTGTTGTTTACACACATAAAGAGTTTTGTTGTTGCTTGGTTTTTGTTATTTTTAAAGGTTTTTCTTCTTCTTCTTTATACACTTGGTGTAAAAAATGGCAGTTTATATATACTTGTTAGAGATTTTTTTATCAAGTGTGTTCTAGTATTTGCCGCATGCTAAATTGTGCAAAATATGACAAATCTTTGGATCCGCAAGCCATTCATTTTTATTTTTTGTTTGTTTTTTTTTTTAGTGCCTTAATTCAAAAATTAATTACTAAAAGAAATCTGTAGCCAAATTTGTTCGTAGTTGAAAATTGTAATACACGCGCTAAAGGGTCAAACATTTACTTGGCAGTTTTTATATATATATATTTTAATTAAATATTATTTACGTTTTAATACTCTTTAATTATCATATATATTTTTATAGCTTTTGTTACCCTATATAAACTACTAATATTTATCGGCGGTTTTGGGAACACACTTTGCCCAGGTTAAAAATTCAAATCAAAATCAAGCTATTGCTTCAAGTGAAATTTTGTGCGTAGTAATTCGAAAATATGGCAACAAAAAAATTAAATTAATTTTGAAATTTTGCAAAATTAGCCTTGGGATTTGAATTTGTTTCTTAAGTTTAACGGCTGCCCGCGAATGCATCAGAAAATAAAAATATTGAGTGAATCTCACAACTCGTGTTCATTTATTTTTCATTTATTTAATTCTTGCAGCATTTTATTTCACTACTTAACTAATTGCTTTAGTTGTTGTTGTTGTTTCTGTTCTTGTTGTTTTCTGCATTTGTTTAATTTATAGGAAAACATGCACTAGAAAATGTTGTTAGAAAACTATTTGGTAAACAATTTGTTGGTTGCCTGTTGAATTTTATTTATTTAAAAATTTTTTTTTTACTAAAAATTTGTTTCCATTTTACTTGTATCTAACCGAAACTTTAAAATGAAAATGTACTTTCGCCGGTTGCCAGTGGAAAATTTGTAAGCTATCAATAAATTTGGAATAACATTAATGTGTCCTTGAAATGCTTGGAAAATTCTGAAAAGCTTAGCGAATAGCATACGAAAATTTTCCAAGTGCCCGGCAAACAGGTCGCACAATTAGCAATTCGACCTGCATTTGCATACGATTTTCTTTAGTTGTTAAATTCATTTAATAAAAGTAATTAATTGTTAATAATATTTTTATAATATATATTTAAGTATAACATTTTCCATTAAACTATTATTTAGCGATTCTGCTGCATGTGTAGCAAAACTTTATAACATTTCATGTTTAAATTTATAATCATTTTCCATTTTTGTGTTTTCCACGTTTCTATTTTCTTTTTTTTTCCGTTTGTTTTCATCATCTGCTTCTTACACTTAGACTAGCACTAGTTAAGTGGATGGTAAAAGGGGATTAGTTATTAAGCTTGGTATGCCATTTAAGAGATTTAGCTTTTATTTTTTATTCGATTTTTTATTATTTTTTTTTTAAATTTTTTTTTTGTTGCTTGCTTTTTTTTTTTTATTTTTTCATGGGGTGGGGAAAGGTCTCAAGAGAGCGAGAAAATCGTAAAGCTAGTTGAGGCCTATTAATTAAGTTGTCTTTCAAGTCGAGCTGGTTGCGGAGAACGAAATTAAGCTAAGAAATTGAAATTGAAATCGAAATGGAAATTCAATAAATTTTTGGCATATACCAAAACGATATCGTAAATCCAGGTCATAACGACTTGTGTTTAAAGTATTCTAAGCAGTGCGTGGGTGTATGTGTGTGTGTGTGTGTGCGTTCTGGGGTCGCTTGTCTTGTGACCTTTTTAGGGGTTACCGCAGCTGCTCTCTCTCTCTCTCTCTCTTATTTCCCCCCTCTTGTTGCGCACTCTCTTGCTTTGCATAGAAGCTGCTGTGGCTGTGGATGGCTGTTGAAAATTGTGATATCGAAACGGTTGGGTTTTTATTTAGTTAAATTAAGTTCGTTTTTATTATTATTATTTTGTTTGTTGGGGAGGGGGGGATTCATTGTATACATAATATATTTTTAATTTTATATACTCCTTTTGTTTTTATTGTAACCAGTTACTCTGTACTTTACTTTCAGCTATATTTATCGATTTTTTGCCTCAATTTTTATATATTTTATTCATGTTTTTTTTTTGGGTCTTTTTTTGGTTTTTTTTTTTTTTTTTTGTTGTATATATTTTATTTTTATTTTCATGCAATTTTCACATTAATGATTTTGTTTATTTTTTTGTTTTGTCTTTTTTTTTTTTTTGCTCTTGGGGCTTTCATAATAAGTGAAGAGTATTAATTTTAAATGTGTTGTGGCTTACGTTTTCCTTGCATTTGTATGCTTTTGTTTTATAATGTATCTAACCTTCTTTTGCTTTTCCTTGCAGGTTCTTCTTCTTTCTATTCATTTGTATTTTAAAATCTACAGTTATGTGTTTTTTTTTATTTTTTGTTTATCTTTAGAAATTTGTAGTTAAACATTTCGTTATGCTTTGCTGTTTATGGGATTAATGCAGCCTGTTTAAATTGATAACAAATTTAAACAAATTAAATAGGTTTGCGCTGTGTGAAAATTGTTTGGTTTTCTCTTTTTATTGCGTTTTTTTTTTTTAATTTATTTTTATGTTGGGAGAGGGGGGTGGAGGTTGATGTTCACAATTTATGCAATTATGTATGTATGTATACATATGTGTTTATATATGCATTCCAATTGTTCATTTTATTTGTATTATATATATAAGTATTTATTTAAATATTATAAATATAAATAATGTTTTGTTTTATTTTTGCTTTTATGTATTTAACACGTTTCTCATTGAGTTAAGAACAGTTGCTGCATTTTTCATTTGTTTATAATTTGTTCGCTGCGCTGTTTGTCGTTTATATCTTCATTATTAAATTACACCAAAAACAAAGTAGAATTTGTTAACAACAATTTGTTTTTTTTTTTTCTGGTTTTTTCTTTACTCTTGTTTTTATTTTATAATATCATATTTGCGCTAAATTATGTGGCTTGCCAATTTTAACCATTTGCTATTTTTTGCCTAAATTGTTAACTAAATAAAATTCTCCTAACAAATTAAGTTGTGTGTTTTGTGTGTGAGTGTGTGTGTGTGTGTGTGTGTGTGTGTGTGTATGTGTGTGTGTGTGTGCGTGTGTGTGTGTGTGTGTGTGTGCGTGTGTGTGTGTGTGTGAGGGGGGCTTTTGTTAGCGTTGGGTAGTTTTTAGCTTTTTAGCGCTATGTTTAGTCATGTTTATGTTTTTGCTTTTATTATAATTATTTTTATTCTTGTAGCTCTTTGTTTTAGTTTTTCTTTGGTTGTTGCTGTATTTATTTTGCAGTATTATTACTTTAGCTTGTTTTTGTTTTTGGTTTTGCTTGCTTTGCTACGTTTTTGTGAATGTGTTTCGTCACTGTTTTTTATTTAGCGTGACTTTGCTTAACTTTCATCTTAACCTTCATTTTATTTATTTATTTATTTAATTTTCCTTTTGTTTTTGTATGCCTAATTCACGCCTCTTCATCATTTGCATCCTTTTACGGATCCTGGCTATACCTTTGCTTCTCCGCACTTCATCTTTGCTGTTCTTGTAGCTTTTAGCCTTTTACTGATGCGTTTCCATTGCGTTTCTCTTAGTCGACCATTAACTCAAAGTGGACGGATCCTCTCCTATCCGAGCGATCATGATGGATGTTGTGAGCCCAGGCTTTGCACTCAATGTTGATCAAGACGCCGGCTAGCGAGTGAAACAAAATTTTGAATTAAATTAAATACTTATATCCAATTAGCATAAAGTAGTAGTTCCCCAACATGAATACCAAAGTCTTGATGGACATATTTTATATATATATGTTTCTTTTAAATGTCCATACATTTTGGAGTGGCTATTGTTACATAGGTCTTTGTTTCTTTTGTTTATTTTTGTTAAGCAATAAATCCAGCTCTAAACAGAAAGTACCTAGAAAACTCTGTTGATCGGAACTCTTGACCAAACTATAGGTCTTGATATTAGATTTTCTAGTCAAGCTTTCAATAGGGACCTATTTATACCCACAGGTTGGCTGATGCTCGACAGAATTTCATATAATTTTAATTTTAAAATTTATTTAAAGTAAATGGTCATTTCACATATACTACACTAGAGGTACCTGCATTCATTTATAACACTAAACAATAAGAAATATGCAAACATATTATAATTTCCGCACACATATTTGTTGCCTACTTTTGGGCGATTGAAAATGTTTGAAAATTGAACTGTGAGCTTCAGCTTCTTTAGAATTGTTACCAATCCGATTAACCCATTTTGTAGCGCTTAAAATGGTTGGCTAAGCGGGTTAATGGCTTAGTTATCTGCTTTTGCAACAGGACCATAGAAAATGCGACTTAACAAACATAAAAGATTTCATTCGCACACTCCAACTTTTATTTCAACCTGAGGAATTATTAAAGTTTATTGTGCCGTAAAATTGGGTTTCTAGACGTTTTCCTCTTCTCTTCTCTTTTTTTGTTTTATTTTGCGGCATTCGGGTCGTTTGCAGCTCTTTTGTCTTTGGGCACGCAGCTGGGATGGGAATCGGGAGACTCGTACGTTTGGCATTTGATATGCGTTTTATTAAAATGCCAGACAGCTTTTCCCATTGTATGACTGCTTCCTGAAGCATGTGGAGCACAAAACTCGCATGCTTATTTAACTGATTCTAAGCCTCTTATTCGTTGTACACTATCTATTTCTTTTTTATTAAGTGCAAAGCAGAAGCTGTTACCATTCCTGGTGCTTCAATCAATGATTAAATTAGGGGTAAGCTGTGACGGGAATATCCGGTTGAATTCGTGAACTAAATTTAACTGCTGGCAGTGTTTCTACAGACCTGATATTTAAAGATTCTAACTCATTTTATTCATATCCAGTTGCAAGCTCTGACTGTGAATAATTTTCTTATCGGTATAATATTTACTTTAAAATGATCTCAATATTTTGTTATTTTATTAGTTTAGAATTTATCTCAGTTAGTCTATTGACCATATAATATTGCCCTATATTGAATAGCTAAATCTTACATATACCATGCTTTTACTTAGGAACTGAAATGAAATGAGATTTCATCATTTCATGCAAATGGGTTTTGTGAAGGACAGTTGGAAATTTCAACGAAATGCATGTCTAAATGATGGAAATACTTAAAGGTAGGAGTTCATAGAAGATGTTACTCTCTCACAGCAGCCCAATTAATCAAAAGCTACTTACTTTCAACGGTGAACTGAACAGCAACAATTGGCGGTATATATCCCTCAATGTTTTTGAAAGGGAAGTAGAAATGGGGGAAACCCATGCGAGGATAATAATCACGTGCCTTAATGTTTTCAACATCAGCTGGATTTTCACCCTCGCATGACACCCAAACAACGCCAGTCTATAAAGTAAATAAAATAGCAGAAAGTTGCAAATTGTTATTAGTTTTATTAGAGCCCAAGGCAGGTTTACCTCATTTGGTCGCAGGCTCTGCTTCTCCTTGATGTGCTGCTTCAACTCCTCGGGCATGTCACCGGGCAAAGCTTTTGAATCGTTGTAAATTTGTGGTACCCAGTTGTAAATCTAAAGAAATCGATTTGTAATTCTTTGTCTCTTTCTATTGGTGTTGCTGTAGTCGATTACCTTATTCAACTTGAGGAATATGCAGGGTCGGGCCACGTGATAACCAAAGTTATTATCCTCAGTGCAGGGCGCAAAGCTACTAACTTCAACGCCGCAGACTTTGCCCTCCATTGGCGGATGGTCAAATGAGCAGTTGACGTGATTCTTCTTGGGTAGATCGTCATAGGCTAAGAGTATAAAGATTTCAAATATTTAAAATGCTCTCAGCAACCACTTGATGTTAGTTCTCTAAAATACAGCTAGCATTTGTTGGATAGCTTTTCAAATACATTTAGCAATAGTCACTTTTTATAGAACATTTATTTCACTTACTGTGATCTTATTATTTGTTTATTCACAAAAATCAAATGAGTCATGAACAAAAATGTATAAAAAATATTTATAAAAATTTAAAATTTATATAAAAATATTTCGAAACTTGCTTTAAATTGCATTGATTTAAATACAACAATTTGATCAAAAACATTAAACGAATAAATAAAATTATCACAATTTCTCTAAAAATAAAATTGTAAGTAATATATATAATATTTAAAAATTAATACAAGAAAAAAACAAATTGTTAGTCACAAAGACTTTTAAAGTGTAGCTTACATTTCAGAAATCGTGCAGTTTCCTCAACCCAATACATGTAATTATCTTTCTTCGATGATTCGTACCAAACTAAAGTGCTCTCAACATTCGCCTCTGGGGGCATTGGTCGAAAGCCAAGACCTGTAAATAAAGTTAACAAGAATAGTGTTATGAAACGGCGACAAACAAGAAAAATAGTGTTGAACATAGTCTTGTGAAACAAGAAAAACATTGTTGAAAAACAGCGAAAATAGTCTTGTTGACAAGAAAAACTATGAAACGACTCGTATATACATATAAGTAGTATGCTCCGAAACTACTTATAACATTTTATTTACCCCACTCACGTTTGAATTTTTCTTTTTCCGGCCACACGAAACACACTATCATATTTATATCAATAGCCGAGTCGATCTAGCCATGTCCGTCTGTCCGTTTGTATGTATGATAACCGGTAATCGATAACTTGTTCCGTTTCCAAGTAATCGATTAAAGCTGATTTGTTATTTCTAGTTTTGAGAAATCTCTTTGGTTTAAATGGCTTGAGTCACCGAACATGACATGTACCTTCTAGAATATCGATTTAATTTTTGTTATTTACCTGGATTCGATCCAATCAAGCCATTGTCAAGCATCCATTTGGGTTTATCAGCCTCCAATGTTTGATAGAACACCGCAAAAATGGCAGCAAAGAATCCGGTTAACGCCGCGTAGAATATAATATAGAAAAGTAAAATTTTTGCTGCAAGACAAAAGAAGAAAATTCGTTGTTTAATACTTTTTATTTAAAACATAAATTTAGTTTATATATGTGGTAAAATTATTTTTATATTCCCAGCGCCAAAAAGTAATTAAATTTGTTTGATGTGCACCACGAGGTGGCTTAATTAATTGTGGGCCCAACGACTATTTGCATGACCAATTTATTGCTGTTGCGCGGTATTTTAATGGCTAGCACAAACTGTGTTAATCATAAAAATAAAAACATTTCCGAATTCCATTAAATTCATGTCCTAACATGACATTCTATGCAAACTATTCTCTACGTTTAAATGAGTTATAATATGGATATTATTCCATCGTGGTCCCTAATCAGCTCCATCGAATAATGAATTTGAATGGGATCAACGGGAAATAAAAACAAGGTAACAAACGAAATAAAAATATTTGATTCAAGGACCATTTGTTTGCTTGGACTTTTATAACATGTTCATATCAGCGCATGCTATAACTAAGATTTGTGCCTATTTCATAAGGACAATTATAAGCCTTGGAATTTGCGAGCGACCAGTGTATCCATAGCAAAACTTTTAAATCAAATAACCAGTAAGACTTTAATGCGCAAAGTTGGCTTATGTCTTGGCTAATTGACAATGTGGGGCAACGGGGTGTGACTAGGTGGGGAGGCTGGTAGCCCCGACAGTTTGCTGACTGCCACGCCCCCCTCACAGCTGTGTACCTACCACGCTGCTCTACGATTACACAATGAACGACATTTGACATTTTCTTGGCTCCAGCTGCAAGTAAATCTGGAGAAGGTCGAGCGTGTGTGTGTGTGTGTATGGGTGTGTAGTGCATTCCAATATCCGCACAATACTCCGCACTGTAGTCATGGACAGAGTTAACTAGTTTGTCATTTTGACATTTCTGTTTTATAATTAAGAGTGATTTAAAGGTCGCTGAGTTTTGAGTTTTTGTTCCGTTGCTGCTGTCCTTTCTAGCGCTCCTATTTTATATTTAGCTATTAGAAAAAAATCAAGCGGCATCTCCCGGGTCATATGCATAATGTTGAAAATGCAAACCGAAATTGTACGGGTAATATGCAGCATTCAAATTTTGTATAAGAAACTAATTTAAGTTAAGAATTTTTCTTATTGTAATTTTTAAAAAATGTATATTTTATCTTCCGGTTTAATGGGAGTGCGATCCCCAACTTTCGTAATAAGTGGTAATTTAAAGGTATATTTTAATAATAAAAACTCTTCATTTCTGCTGCCTTTGAACCAGCGGCCTGTCGCTTGCTAGTCCAATGCTCAGACACCTTATATAGACTCATGAAGTCGCGTTCGTAAAGCACACTTATATGGCTGCGTTGTGGTTGATGTTTTACATACAAACTTTGACCACCATTTTCCCCCTTTTGGAGGTTGCTTTTTCCCAGCCCCTGTCCTAATGCTCGCTTTCAAACTAAAAGCAACCTTTTGTAAAAGTTGCAGCTTTCAAGCCTGTTTAGGTTGTGTGGTCTGTCTTCCATATACATGAATTGACTTTAATGTTGTTTACTTTTTTAAGATAAGATTGTCCTAAATTACGCATACACCATGTGACGCAGAGCGAACTTTGAATAAACTAATTTATAGAGAGGAAAATATGTTGGAATTGGCATTGGCATTGCACAGCAATTTACGAAAGTCATTAATCATCTGCTCAGAGACTTTGAGAATTGTGTGGACCGTGGGAATTTTGCGGAGCAAACGCGATTGGCAGCGGGTTAAATTTAGAAATAATTAAAGAGTGAATGGTAAAGGCAGAAGAGCGAGAGAAGAGCTGAAATAACAAAGGGTTTTAATGGCAACTACGAAAAATATTTTTTTTTGTTCCTAGTTTAACTAGGTTAAACAGCAGAAAACATTAAAATTAAATTGGAATAACGAATATATTGAATTAGAATAATTTGGGAAACTGAACTCTGATGCTAGTCAGAAAATGTATTGTTAATGAACATAAATAGACATTATAATAATATAAATAAAATAAAATTCGAATAATTTGAAAAATATAATACAAGCTATAAATATTGCAATATTCTTTGTCGATTGTTGAAAATAAAACTTGTCTAAAACGAAATCAATTTGCTCCGAGATAGAAAGATACACATGGATGTTTTAAAGCTAAAAATTAAAAAATATTATTTTTGCCTTTTAAGCACAGAATGCAGACTAAATTATAAAACACAAAAATATTAGTTTGCCATATTTTGAATAAAACTTGTCAAAATCGGGCGAGCTATGTGATTCGATTACAGTATGTAACATCCTGTTAAGTAGTACGCTTATTTTCAAGACCTTCTGAAAAATACTTGAAAAGAATTCTGCTCACGGTCAATTAGTTGGCAAGTATTGCCAATAGCAAAAGGGCGCATGCGCGCTCCACAATTCTGCTGCCCAACTGGCTATTGCCAATGCGCCCGCACTCTAACGAATTCTCAGGGCCATATACAAGCAAGCATATATATATAAATGTTTGTATATACATATATCTGTTATATAGATAATGGTAGCGTTATTTAATGGCTTGATTGCTTGAGAAGCAACTGTCCAAACAGGGCTAAAGCCCGACTGTCTATATAGTAATATGCATAAATTATAATAATCCGATAGCTAAACATATTGAACAAAATTTATTTTTATCTTGACTTTTTAATTAATCCTTAAGGTTATAATTGGCTTTGCTGGCCGAGTTCCCAAGTCAATTGAGTTGCGGAAATTAGGGAAACACGTTAAACATTTTCATCGCCTTACGTAATTTGGTTACGTTACGTAGGCAGTTAAATAAAAATGTACGTTTGCATGGCAACACTCGAGCAAACTTCACGGATTCGCTGGGGAGAACAAAAGCAGCGCCAGCAGGGAGCCTTCTTTGCAGTTGGTTGTGCTTTTTATTCTGAATTTTCTTATTGTTATTCCAATGGGTGTGCCTGTGCTTGTGTGTGTGTGTGTGTGTGTATGTTAGTATCTATGTGTGTTTGTGTGTGTACATGTGTGTGCTTGAGTGTGTTTCTGCACTTAACGAGCTGGTTGCTCTGGTTTCAGTGGCCGCAGTGGCTTTTCCTACTGCGGTAGGTGGGGCTTTGGGTCTTTTGGAGATAGAGCTCGGCTATGGATGCATGGTGTGAGATTCTCAGGCTACGCGATGTGCTCTTTGTGGTTTGGGGAAAACAGCTGTTTTATTTTGCTTGCAAGGCAAATGCGCTAAGTCGTTCTAAATCTTAAGTGTCCTCGACTACACAGCATATAAATTGTGTAGTTCTGGGCCCGTAGTCTCAGTTCCTACAGAAATAAGTGTAACCCGTGTAAGATAATCGTTAATTTAATCCCACTTAATTGAATGCGTTCGAAATATTTGCAGTATAAATGTTAAACAAAATCCAAGAACATATTTAAATCCACTTGACTTTTAAAGCTTAGCGACTAGTAGAATTAATTATATCAATATATTATATAATATAATAATAATAGATATATATGATATAAAAGATATAATAGCAGAAAATATATGCCCTAAAATGAGGTATACTTTCCTTATTATTGTGCACCATATAATATGAATTATATTATTATTTTATATTTTATAATTTTAAATATATAATAATATAATAGTTATATAATATTCATATTTTATATAAATTTATATACTTCGCTTAATAAATAAATTATGTCGGATCTCAGAAAAATATTGTTCAACATGTGCGTACGTTTGGAAACCTACAAGCTTTTTTCAATTTTTTTTCTTTTATTATTTTTTAAGTGCACATATCGAAGTTTCGAAAATCTTGAAAACGTTGTTTTGGATATTTCAACTCGCTAAATATTAATTTTTATATTTTTAAGAAAATGCAAGATAAAATAATAAAATATTATTCTTTAATTTTGGTTTTTATAAATATATAATTGGATTTTTTTGGTAAAATTCAAATGTGTATCGCATTATACACTAAAACGTGTATATATTTATCTTTAGATAACTTCATAATTTATGGATACAGAATTAGCAGAGTTTAATTTGAGCTTTTGCTTAGATCGCAGGCTTGTGCATAAAGTTAATTAGTTGTTAGGCGCTGGCAGAACCTTTGAAGTTTTCTTCGTTGATAGTTTCTTTTGGTGGGTTCTGCCTTAAAATCCGACGCCAGCATTTTTTACTCTTTACCTATGTGCATGTGTGTGTGTGTGCGTGCTCATGGTGCCGTTGAGCACCTGCCAGGTCTCAGTGGAACATTAAGTATACGCAGCATTGTACGCGCACTCTCCGCCTGCGAGTGCTCTCTCTCTCTCTCGCTGCCTCCCTTTCTCTCTGTTACTCTCTTGCTCGCTCTCTCTCTCTCTCTCTCTGTCCTGCTCTTTGTAGGTCTCTCGGCTGAACTTTGCCATTTGCACAGCTGCCGCAATAATGTAACAAACTGTGCTGGTACGCGATTGTGTGTGTGTGACTGCGTTGTCTGCATGTGTGCTACAGTTGCAAGCTGTATACACACACATACACGCACAAAAGAATGGCGTCCACTTCGTCCTCTTTTTTAATTTCAGCTTCAATTTTACCTTTCAGCGGCAGCTGTGGGTGCGGGTTGGGCTGTTGGTGCGGGTCGTAACGAGTGCTGCCCATTTGCTCTGTTAATTTTGACAGTTGCAGAAAAATAAGAAAATTACATACACACACACACACACACACACACACACACACACACACAGTAGCTGGCACACAAAAGAACGAAAAAAACCTAACCAGCAAAATGGAGCAGAAAATACAACTGTCAACATCAGGATTCGCAACAGCCCTCAGGCTTGGCAGTACTCATGCATACACGCAAACACACACACCCACACACACACACACATACCCAAATATAAGTATATACAAGAATGATAATAACTATAATATGCATTTTATATAAGTACATAACATTTTATTGTGCAGATTTTTATTTTTATCATTACTTTTTTAATATAAATTTATATTTGTTTTTGC